TAAGTGGTGAACAAATTAATCTATTAATTAACCACCAATAATAAACATAATTACCTCATTATTGCTAGTTACACAACCCTATTGCCAGAACAGAACTTGGATTTGAAATTTCACTGACTGATGTAGCCCAGGAACAAACTCAATGTAATGCATTCATCAGAACATAAAGAAAAGCTTTACTATCTTGTGTACAACTTAAAAATAAACAGTATATGAAATAGTAGGCGTTGTATTTTGCACTCTACTCTGCACTTCTAAAGAAGTAGCTAGCCATATAAGTGCAAAACTGAAATATCCAGGAGACATTTCCTTTCTGCTTTGAACATTGCTGCTAATTTGTTCAATGTGGCTTTATTTTGTATGTACTCAGCTTCAATTACTACATACTAGTTCCGGGATGGAGAACCAGTGCACACAGGTGGCACACGGAGTCATTTTTCAGGGCACATGAGGTGTTGCCCTGTCAACTGGCCAGCGCGCATGCGCGTGCTAGCCAGCTGAGTTCAGCCTTTTTTAAAACCATTTTCCGCCCTTCCCAGGCTCCAGAGGCTTTATAGGAGCCTGGGGAGGGTGAAAAGAGCCTCCCTGCTCCCCCCCCCCCCAGAGGCCCTCCAGAGGCTTCAGGAAAACTCCTGAAGCCTCTGGAGCACAAAAAAACGGCCCTATGGTCAAACTGGAAATTTGTGAACGGACTTCCGGTTTGCTTGTACGGTCGGTTTAAGCCCTCTGGAGGCTTCAGGGACCTTCAGGAGGCTTCCCTGAAGCCTCCAGAGGGCTTAAATCGACCCTACAAGCAAACCGGAAGTGACTTCTGGTTTGTTCGTAGGGTCATTTTTTGCCCTGTGGAGACTTCAGGGAAGCCTCCTGAAGGTCCATAAAGCCTCTGGAGGGCCTCTGGGTGGCGGGGGAGGCTGTTTTTGCCCTCCCCGGGCTCCTATAAAGCCTCTGAAGCCTGGGGAGGGCAAAAAAAGCATGCAAAAAACGGAGAGCGTCTCTCATACACGGATGCACACTGGGGGGGGGTGTCACACATTGCATTATGGGTGCAGCATGCCCATGCATGACCCCCCTGCGCTCCCCCCTTATGGCACACGAGCCAAAAAAGATTTGAATTCAAACTATAGTTTATAGAAGACATTTTTCTTTATCTTCAAATATTTTCTTAATAAAAAATACTTCTGTAACAAAAACCAGGTTTTTAATATCTTCACCTAATTGGGGAAAATTGTTGACCAGGTTGATTTTACAGTAGATTTTACAGTAGTAATCTTGGAAATTATTCTCTTTTTGATGGACTCTGAATCTAGAATGAAAAATGGCATGTAATTTTAATTGCACTCCATCTTCACCCCATCAAAATTCACTCATGACTAAGTGTACAAATTAGATTCTGCAGTCAGAATTCTACCCAATGACTTTTTCCTGCTAAAGTTATGTAGCAACTTCAGATCATATTTCCAAGAGACCTTTGGAAGAATGTGAATACTGCATCTGTCTGCAACAGGTGTATTTTAAAAAAAACACTTGCAACTGCTTGATTGCCATGTAATCTACACAACCCTACTCCTGCTATACCTAAAACAGCTGTTATTAAGCTATTGGCTCTCAGATGACAGTTTGCATATAAAAGTCTTTTTCCATCAGGAGGATATCAATATATTTGAAGAATACCAGACTTTCCCTCATCTATATCATCACCAGAAGAAGAAAAGTGTAATGACGTGAATTGGAGACAATGCAGAACATTGGGTTAGATAAACTGTAGCATCATTCTTCCCTGAAAGATCTGTAAATTTAGACAATATAGTTATTATATTGTGTGCATAAATGCATAAATATAAAAGCAATTACTTCTTACTAGAATATTTGAATAATTTAATTTTTCATACAAAAAATAGTAGCATACAAGAAAACAAATATTGTTCTTAAATGACTTTTGCCTATTGATTCAAGCTTGAAGCTCCAAATTCCAAAGTAATTAATTCATGCTATAAAATACCTTAAAATGCTTGCATCATATAATATTTTTAGCACTTGCATTGATTAGTTGGAATTTAGTTATCTTGTATGATCATGCTTTATAAAGAATATCTGAACGATTATTCAATATATGATAGATTGACCCAACCAAATGAGTTCATAGTCATGGTTAATTTAGGATCTGGATTATGATTTGTAAAATTGTTAGCTGAATAAGTATACTATGCCATTGCTTAAAGATGTATATATGAGTGTGTGTGTCCCACTCACATCCATATTAGAATTTTAGTGGACTTGATCATCATCATCATCATCATCATCATCATCATCATCATCATCATCATTTACAGTGGTTCATTTCCTGCCTTACATCAGCAAATAATGAGAACACAAATAATGAACCCTTCAAAATAATTATCATTTTACACTTGTACACTTGTACACTTTACACTATCTTTTTGAATATGTGTAATATAACAAAAAAAAAAGGAAAACTCAAGAATGTTTGTACTGCAATATCTGATTTATTTTTAACAACCACAGAAAATGACACCATGTGTAATGGAACTATAGATAATGAAGTTCTCCTCTACCATATCACCATTTTAAACTGATATTTTCTACAGGCAATGGACCCAATGATTAAATACTGTTGAAGAAATAGAGAGACATATGTCTCAACTGTAAAATGTACACACACACACACACAGACACACACACACACGCATCTCAGCTTAGTATCAGTTTGCTATCTTATGAAGGGGAAGTTCAAAACATTCTGATGATGCAAAGTATAGAGGATTTCACAGTGATGTCATATATAATTGAACTGTGTTTGCAAGGAGAAGGGAGAAAACAAATAATTTCAGTGGATATGGAAGCATTTTTTGACAGCCTTTATGATTCTCTCATAAATAGCAGTGCTTCTATGGAAAACAACAAAATGAGATAGTCAAACCACAAAAAAAAATCATGCAGGATAAAAAATGATGCTATCTTGTACATGCTGATGTAAGAATTTCTTAGAGACACAAGGGTTCAACATTATTGCCTCTTCTGAAGCAAAGGGTTATTTTTTAGATTCCAGAGCTTCATAGCCTATGTTTGCCATAGGAACATCTTCCCAGTACAGATCATAATGTTTATGCTCCTAATTTTCTCACCCTGCTCTTCAAACAATGCTAGATTAATGGTCATCTTTCCCTTCTGTCCAGCTAAAACAAAAACAAAAGTATTCTTCCAATGTCTATGACCACAGCTGGGTTCATGTACAGAGAAAAAGGCTTTCACGCATGGCAAATTTTGTGTGGGAAAAGTCTTAACTAAGGCACCCCAGTATCAATCACAGTATGCAGAATAACCATTGATTATTTCAATTACCTATCATTTGAATAAGGACTTATCTTTGTCTATAGCAGCCATTACTTGTTATATGTCTTGCTCATTGTAAATATTTTCGGGGTCTTCTCCCCCTAAGAATATTCCCAATTAGGATTTATACTAATTTTATATTACTTGTTTGGAATATGTTTTCATATGAAGAATCAGCCATTGTAATATTGGCCAGGGCAGAAAAACAGGTATATGATATTTTACAATCTAACAGAATGATCTCAGAAAATGGCATTTACTACCCACACAAATACCCATACACTATGTTCTGTTTCTGATTTTTCATGACATTTCATATACACATCTTGCTCTTAAATGTTAAAATTTTAAAAAGAAACATAATTGCATATATTTATGCTTTAGAATTACAAATAGATTTTGAAAAACATTTGACACTTGGAAACACAAAAACACACAAAAAATCACATTGCTGAAAGAATTGACGATTTTTATATAGGGGTAATATACTGGTCAGAGAGTAGGTAAACATGAATAAGTGCAATCTTAGTGGGTCAACTGTAAAGGAAAATCATGACATCCACATGCAGCAAGAAGGCTAACATGGACCTAAAAATCAAAACATGGAAGCCACTGTTACATTAGCGTTCTAAAATACTGAGCTGTTTTAAGTAGTTCCTAAATCAATCTTCTGAAATGGGTTGTAATATATGTTATGTTGCTAAACCAAATCATATTGGGCTTAAATATGTTCCTATTACTAGTGCACTGGATATTCCAAATGTGTTCTTTAGTATGTCTAAGGAATCCCACAATGCCCAGGCAAAATGCACTGATGTAATAGCACAAGATTACGAAGGGGATAGGGGTAGGGAAAATTAAGCAGAGAAAAACGCAGAATTATCACCTGATATACAAAGCAATAAGCATAGTATGCCATGTAAATGGTGGCACATTTCAGCTACATACAATGCTCATGAGAAATTGCACACAAAATAATGAGGGAACACAGTCGGCAGACTATTTTATTCAGGAACAAAATGATTCATTGTGCATAATCCAATCGGGAGAAATCGTCAACCTGCAATCTTTCAGCATTTACAACATTTTTTTTCACCATATAACAAACCCTTCTCAACAGACAGTGAAAGGAAAGGAGAGAGGGAAGGAAAGAAATTAAGACAGCTCTACCAGAAATTTACCAAATATATGCAGACTCTTTGTTTATCCTGGAAAGGAAACCCATTCAGAGGTGTAAATAATGGTCACTTTGTTGGATTCCCAATGCAGCTAAGTACAAATGTGTGTGTGTGAATGGCTCTCTCTTAATTCACCCTGGGATCCCTTGACCCAGCTAGACAAGCGTGAAAACATGAAATAAATGAAGGTTAACAAAGACTGTCTGGGAAACAGTACAGATTAAAATGCTCACCGCATGAATTATTTTATATATTAAAATGGTGTTGTAAATTCCTTCAGCTTGTAAATGTTGAAATCAATCTGGCAAAATGTTAACCATCTATCTTGTTGCACAAACCACAAATGGAAGAAAAAAGCATCTTCCTCATCATCTATGCACAATTTACACATTAAGGCAGGAATAACAACAGCAAATGCAGAATTTTGTATGCGACTCATTAAAAACAGAGCTCAAACGGCTATCACAATACCTTTTTGTGTCTGTCCTTCTTCCATATTTTCTTCCATGGCTACCTTTCTTCACTAAAAACTGTGGCACAGGTTGAGTCAAAAGCTTCCCTCCTATGTTGAGGAAGCTGTGAATTTATTTTCCCCGGGAAGCTCCAAGTGCACTGATTTTAGGCAAGTCTTTGGAGCTCAGCAAAGGCTCCTCTCACTCTCCTTGCTTGCTTGGAGACAGGCTGTCAAGTGCAATTTCATTCAAATTACTCTTCCATGAAGATTATCAATTTTTCTTCTCAAAGCTGTCCATTGTACACCACTGTAAGCAGGTATTCAAACGAAAAGCCTGTGAATTTGGGGAGGGGAGAATTTGGTTGGGGTCCTGGTAGCAGTAACGCTGTGATTCATAAAGCTCACTTTGCATATAAAACAGGGAAATAAATTGATGTTTGCATTGAAATCTGTGCTTTAAATTGGAAACAGCCTGCACTGTGAACAGATGGAGGGGTGTCTCCCTAACATGAAGGAACTGAGAACCTATAATTCCCCCTATTTGCTACCAAAATGGGAAAGCCCAAATGCCTGTAGCGTTAGATGCTGCAATACTGCAATGCTTATTTCTTCCATACTATTAATACTGAATACTAATTTTCATTAACAGTGCTCTAGTACCCATTTAAAATAAAATAAAAATTAGTTTTAAATATAAAGCTCTACTCTAAAATGCTGCAAAATATTTTGGAGAGATTTTTGTAAGACTAGAATTTTCTATAATTCTAGTCTTGATTGGTTAAATGTTTAACCAATATGTTTTAAAAATAAATTATTCATTCCCAAGTAGGTTCCAAACATAGTCTAGCTGTGAAAAATCTGATTTGTGAGTTAAATATGCTTCCAGTTATCAAATGATTTATACTTCTTACATGAGACAAATAAATGGGGTATTCTTGTAATGGTAGTTACTTCATTGGCAAAAATAGGGCTTACTTCAATATGTTGTAAGAAAAGGAGCTATAATGGTATGAATTATGGAGGAAACACAGAGGTTAAGTATCTTATGGGGACAGCCACTCCTTTGAAAGACTCTGAAATTGGATTTTGAATGCAAATTGATGGAATACTGCAGTTTGGAGGTAATTTGCATTTCTGCACCTTATGTCATTGAGTAACAGAATTACTCTGACGTTCTATCATAGGGGAAACCTATGATAGGTGCCCACTATATATTTCAATTTCTATTCTATTTCCATTTATTAGGGATCATTATTATATTATTCTGAAAAACATTTCAAAAACATAGTAAGGACCTGTTTTGATATATTAAAAAGTGGTTTATACTATAAGCTTTTTATATTCTTTCTCATGGGGAGCATATTGTATTGGTTAATGAAAATATGTGCCACCAGAGTTTCAATTTACAGAGATAACACAGTGAAGATACTTGCTGCTTCTCTGCACTAGTTTCCCTTCCTAAGGGGGACAACTAAGAAAAGAAACTATGTTTCTTTCCCATCTGCAAATTAGAGATAGGAAACAAGAGATACTAGGGTAGCAACTGCTCTTGGCTTCTTCTTATATAGTTTTTCTTGAGTATAACTAGTGCAGAATATTGACATTCTGGGGAGAGAATGGGTTGCAAACCCACGGGGACATAAAACATGAAGAAATATTATACAAGGCTGCTACACACAACTGTAAATCCAAGATACCATCTTGCTGAAAGGAAAAAAAAAACTCCACACCTTATTTCAAATGTATTAAAATGCATTCTACGACAACAGTTAAATAAACTTTCATTTAAATGGGGCAAAGAAGGGAGGGCAGGAATTAAAAGAAATTCTGAAAACTTGCCTATTCAGTGCAATTATTTAGTTCACTGAACTTTCCAGTACAGCCTAATTCTTGTCTGAAATGAACTGTAACCATTTCATCCTCATCCAAGTACTGATAACAGCCAGATACTGTGCAGAATCAATCAACCATATTAGTAAGTTTTGATGCAAAAGTGTCACAGAATTGACATACTGACACAGTGGTCTACAATCAGAATAAATAGACCTAAACTGTATGTTTAAATATTATAGTTCCATATCCATCAATATTTTTGACTAAATCACAAAATCAATCAAGCTATATTCTTTTAATAATAAAGTAGAGGGATCTGATTGTTTCATTATATTAATTCTTAACTATAAGTATATCTTAAAAGAAATTACACATCAGGAGTCCCATTTAACTGTAAGTACTACTTCATCTAGAAATGTTTCTTTCTTTCTTTCTAACATTGTTTGAGTATTGATCCATTGGTTGTGAGATGAATTGATCAACTAACTTGTTGCCTGAGCAAAATGTCATGGGCTGAAAGAGAGAGAACAACTGGCTCAAGTCACCCAGCCAGCCTTAATGGCTAAGATTACAACTAGATAGAATTCCCTCCTAGCCTAATGCCTTAACCCCTAGGCCAAACTGTACTTTCTCAAGAATTTCCTGACATATTTTCATTTCAAGACAAAGAATCAGGAATAAAATGCTACCTACTGTTCTGTCCCAAGCCTCTAATATATACAGACTTGGCTGTCTGCCACAACTAAGAAGGGAGATAAGCAACCCCTTGGAGGAGCCCAGAAAATTATCTCTATGAAAACAAGGCTTGAACTCACGAAATTCCCCCAATCTTTCACTATGCCTGAATTAGTAAACTGTTGTTTCCTGCAAAAATTCCCCTCCCGTTGCTCCACCTATAAGCTCTCCGGGAGGGGCCAATCAGTAGCCACCCTATTTCCTTCTATGAGCCTTTTTCCAAAGCTGCTCCCTCTTCCTCTCAGCCCTATTTACATCAGGGACAGCCTCCCTCTGTTCTTCCTCACTGGTCCCTGTCTCAGACACCATCTGGTGGCCAACAGGCCTCTCTAGTCCCTGCTCTGACTCCGAAAACCCCCCAGAGTCTTTCTCAGTCTCCAGGGCAGTCCCATAGTGTTCATCGCTATCAGATTCCAGCAACAGCTTAGCTGGCCGCTGTTGGGCCACAACACCTACCTAATTAAAAAATGTTTCCTGCAAGCTGTGATGAATTATTAAATGAAGCACAAAAATCTAAACCTTTGGGGTAAAGTAGATGGGGACTATCTACTTTCCTATAAAAAAAATGATGAAAGCTGTAGGATGAATTGAATTCCCATACAAAGCCATTTCTCTTTATTTTTACTCATGCATTTTCATATGTCTGTAATGTAATAAAATATATTCTTAAATCTATACCAATAAAAAGAAGTCAAATATTGAAAGAGAGACAGACACAAAGAGAAAATTATTACAATTTTTCAGAACACATAAAAAACAAAATTAAGCACAACTTTAAGAGTACACTTGAAAAATAAAAGCCAGCCCAAGGGTTTCCTAGGGATATTGCTGAATACTTGAAATGTTAATACCACATTATCACAATGATCTCAAGAGATTCCAGTCTAATTTTAAAAAAGCATTGGTTAAAAAAGAATACCTGAATCATCTGAAATGTAAATGAAAGTAGTGAATAACATAAAATATGAAAGATAGCATTTGTTTTTCCACAACACAATTCAATTCAACACAATTCAAAATATGGATCCATCAAAGTAGCATGGTTATTAAACTTTCTTTTGTAAATCGTGTGATAGATAATTTTTTTGTCTTTTAAAAGATTCAGAGACCTTACACCTTTCCCAGGGTCTGAGTAGAGCAACCAGATCATGTATTATTTAAGTAGATATAGGTACAATTTTTCATTATTATTTATCACTATAATTTACTACATCATACAATCAATCTAGACAGCTCATAATAAGCCATAAAACATATTTAAAAAGATAACTTCCCTAGCCCTGGCAACAGATCAAACATCCTCACTCCTCAGTTGCCTCCTCCAGCATTCTAGCCCAATACTTTGGGGAAGAATCAGGTCTTCACAACCCTACCGAAGGCTAAAATGGTAGGGATCTCTTTGATCTCCAGTGGAAAGCTGTTCCAAAGTATTGGATAGCTTCCTTAAACCATGCCTCCAAGATCCCATAACAAGACAACAACTAAGAGAGGAGTCCTAGAGTGCACTCCTCTCATCTAACCTAGCAGGATGAGCAGTGGGAGTCATTCCAATAATGCACTGTCCCATGTTGGGCTTTCAAAGAGATAACTCAAGTAAAGCACATTGCAGTAATCCAAACGGAAGTAACTAATGCACAGGTGACTGTATGGAAGGCCTCCTACCCCAGGAATGGGTACAATTACCATATAAAGTGGTTTATACAAAGGACCTACAGTCAAGGCTGCCACCTGCATGGGCCATGAGTCCAAGATAACCTCCAAATTTTGCATCAGATGTGTGCAGGGGAATGTGATGCTATCTAGGGTCAGAGATGTCCACTCTCCTGACCTCAGGGTGGGGACTGCAACTATTTTATTTTGCTAGATTAAATCACAATTGGTTTCTACCCATATAGACTATTAAAGCCTCTAGATTCTGAGCCAGCATCTAATAGCAATAGCAATAGCAGTTAGACTTATATACCGCTTCATATGGCTTTCAGCCCTCTCTAAGCGGTTTACAAAGTCAGCTTATTGCCCCCAACAACAATCTGGGTCCTCATTTTACCCACTTCAGAAGGATGGAAGGCTGAGTCAACCCTGAGCCGGTGAGATTTGAACTGCAGAACTGCAGTCAGCTGAAGTAGCCTGCAGTGCTGCATTTAACTACTGCACCACCTCAGCTCTTATATCTAAACTCCTACCCTTCCTTCTCTTTCATTCATACAAGTCTCATAAAAAGAAAAGAAACACAGAAGGGGAAGCTAAAGGCAGCAAAAAATAAAAAATTACTTCATAACAGCCTTCTGGCTGAACTACTCCTGGGAGTGTTAAAAAGATTTGTAACACGGTTCTTACATGCTAAACTATTTAGAAAGTCAGCATTAGTGAATTGCAACTATTTACAATTCCTTTATTGTAGATACACTGTAAACATCATGCATTTTTATATTATGATATTGCCTAAATATACATTCTGATAGTGCCTAAAGGATAGTTAATCTTTGACTTTGATTTAGTTTGATTGTGCCATGAAAGTTGTCTAGAATTTCAGGATTGCCTCTGTAGAATACACAAGTATACAAGTTCTGTGATCTAGTCTAGACTACATGTTACATGTTTCACTAGCTTTTTTTGTAAAGTTATATCTTTAAAATACCTAGTTCTTATACTTTCTTAGAATCATATATCCAGAAGGACCTTGGAGGTCTCATCAGTCCTTATTCCATCCCAGACAAATAGTTGTCCAATCTTTTCATAAAAATCACCAGTGATGGAACACCCACAGCTCCAGGAAGCCTTCTATTCCACTAACTATTTGTTCTTACTGTCAATAATTTTTTCTTAGTTCCAGGTTGATGAGTTTCCATCAAAAAACACAAGCTTCTCAAGTGCTATTCATTAAGCTATCCAT